TGAATAAGGCTTCTACTCCTGGGAATAGGCACCAACCAACTATAGAGAATAGTTAATCGTCCATTCCATCCATGTACGTGCTCGGTGGATGGATATTTTGGGAGCTGTGTTGTTGTGTGTTGTGTGGAACACACCAGGAGAAGGAATGCCTAGTTCAGATTCATTTTCTAGGGTAAATTCTAAAGATGCTTGTCAAAGCATCCAACAACTCGACTAAGCTGAGTGTTTTCAAGCTTTGACATAAGACAGTGAGCCAGTAGTGGACCCAGTGGTGACTCCATCGCAACACCCTCCTTCTGTCTATATATCTGGTTGTTAGAGCTAACCTGGACGTTGGATGTGCATCTGAGTGAGAGTTGTTTAAGGCAGGTTGTTGGCAGCCCTAGGTCTAAACTATCTGCATCGATATAGTCGCATATATAGCAGATGGTTTCTGTGAGAGACGCATTAGTAAACAACGAGGTCACGTCTAATGAAAGCATGACTTTGTCTGAGGCGTCGAAATCTCTGATACCATGAACTAGTTGAATTGTATCAGCAGTGGCAAACTTAGACACTTGCCTTCTGACTGGTTCCGGCATTTCGGCTAGCCATTGAGCCATACGATGATAAGGGGAACCCATCATATGGAGGATCGAACGAAGAGGTAATCCATATAAACGTGGGATTATGGAGCCGACGGGTGAGACACGCTCATGTGAATCTGAGGAGATCATTGACTCGTCTGTCATGTTTTGTAGAACATTTGTCAGGTGGTTTCCAATTAGCTGTGTTTTGTTCATTTCACTCTGGGATTTGGCGATTTTCGTCCGATCAGAGAGAATCGCTAAGATTTAGTCGACATATTCCTGGCGGTTCAGCGGAACAACGCCTCCGCCTTTATCAGGACGACTTGTGGTGGTTTCATGCTTTTCCTTCAGTTCTTTAGGCTGGTCTGGTCTGTGTAATCTTTGGTCAACAGATTGTGAGAGGTCGGCTTTGAATTGGTAAATTGATGGCAACAATCAAGAAGAGTTGATTTGAAGTGTTGGAATCAGTGCAGCGATGCGGCTATAAGATCGAAAGTCTGGCTAGTTAAGCTGTTTTGCTTTGTAAGCTGCACTTGAGTGTGCAGTCTGTTGACGCTGGATACGCTGTTGCAGGACATAGGACCCAGTGACGCAGTGACCGAGTGACACAGCTTGTAGCTGAGATGTCGAGAGAATGGCAGAATACTGACTGAAGACACATTTGTGGGGATCAGTGGGAAATCTCCTCTCTACTTCTACCGGCTTGAGGCTGTCAGTATTGTTTGTGATTGGTGAACTGAGACTGATTTTCGATGACAATAGAGATACCATCGTCAAACTGTTGACTTTCACCAGTCGATAGTTCATGAGGACGAGGGAGCTTGTCTTTTAGACAAGTGGAGAACAACTTCCGGCTGGTGAGGGTCAAGTGGAGTTTCGCCGCAGACAACGTCTTACCGACTGATTTAGAAGGAGGATTTTCGAGCATATCTGAAGTCTGATCACCCTTAAACTCCAGATTGACGAAGATGCTTTTCTTTGGAACTGAGTTAGTGGCGAGATTGGAATGATTAGAATGACGATTTGCAACATTGGCAATGTTGTTTGCATTCATGGGAATTTCTGAGATTTTTTATCTCTGTTTTTTGTATATTTCTTCTACCTTTTTCTCTTTTTTTTCATCGGCAATAATTTTAATGCTTCTTCATGGCGATGGGATGCAGTTTTCGGATAGTGAATCACCTAATTTATTATCTCGCTATATGCGTTTGACACGTATTCCACGCCTGAAAACGCAACGATTCCTTTGAAGTGAATACAGGGGTAAGTCAATGTTGCCTGTTCTCACCCATAGTATTCCTATTTGTGGTAAATTGTGTCAGATTGTGGGGAACGGGAAGACAGGATTACGCTGGGTCGCTAAGTAGATTCTAGAAAGCCTGGATTTCACAGATGGTTTATATCCGATATTATTCAAACGGTAAGACTTGCAGGTGAAACCCAACAAGTTAGCAGAAGAAGCAGTAAATACAGGAATTCAAGTGAATATAAAGAAGACGGAGGTAATGAAGATAACCAACCAACAGTAACAACAACAAGCACCACTCACTATCAACAGAATAAATTTGACATGGTAACTTCCTTCACTTATCAAAGCAGCATCGTTTTATCTACAGACGGAACAGATCAGGATGACAAGAGCAGAATGGGAAAGGGAAAGCATATCTTCATCACTCTGAAATGGGTTTTGAAATCTTCTGCACACAGCAGAAAGAACAAGGTTCGGTGAATAAACTTGATGAAAATTTAGCAGTAATTAATCGCGCAAAACTATTAGCCTATAGCATTATTCAACACTAATGTCAAGTGGGTTCTTTTATACTGGTCAGAAACTTGGCTTGTAACAAAAGGATTCCCAACAGGTCGCATACTTTCATCAACAGCTGGCTTCATACTGAAGATCAAATGGCAAGCCGGTCAGAAAGAATTAGTAACAAGAAACTCTGTCAACAAACCAAACAAGAGCCGGTCGCTCAACAAATATGTACGAGAAAATTGAGATGGATCGAGCATACATTGAGGCGATCGTCGAATGACATCCTGCGCCAAGGCTTCGAGTGGGATACGAATGAGAAGCGACGAGTGGGTCGTCCAACGGTGACATGGAGGAGATCGTGTAAGGAGATGAGACACTATGGGCAGTCATGGACCCAGCTGAGGAGGACGGCAGAAGATAGAGCAAAGTGGCGATGTGTTGCTAAAGACCTATGTTCCACTCGGAACGCAACGGAATAATAATGTAACTGTCTGAAAGGCGAATTTCTTATTAGCTAACATAAAACATCTCATGAAGTATTAATGAATTCATCATTCAAGCAAATAAAAATAATGGTTGTGGTAAACATGACAAATGCGTGAACTTCATCAGAGTACGGGCAATCAAAAGAGTATACTAACGGAAGTTATTTTCTTACGTAAAAACGACACCAACAGAGATATCAGAGAATGAAGAAAATCTCTATATCTGAAGGTGAATTCTCATCGCCTGCTTTACCCGGAGTATCATAAAAAATCTGAAGTACTGCTTGCTTGAAGATAAGGCACATAATTGAGGAAAAAGTTTCATGCTGGATGATTTGTGAAAAACGCATAAATGAACCATAAAATGAGAGACAATCACACTGACATGAAGAGCGATATACATATGAAATTGAAGTTCAAAGGTGACTTCATTGCAACAGGATAACCTATTACTTAAAAAAGACTTTCTTGAATAATCTGTAGGCATTGTATTCATTTCATTTTTAAGTAACCTGACGGACTTTTCATCTGTATCACTTCAAAAGTTATATCAGTTCACCTACTCCTTTGGAGGAAGCATATAAGCGTAGTGTGTATGTATTCTTTCAAAACGTGTAAATATATGACTTTAGTTTTAGGTGGAACTATTGAGTACATCACTAATACTGTTAACGATATAATAAACGATTGATGATTCAGAGTTATTTAAAAAGTGGGGAGGAATGTACTCAAGTGTTACTTGGTGAAATCGGAATATTATATGAGGAAGAAGGTTGTTTAATCCTTGCTTCTCTTGAGGATTTGAGAAATCCTTCTCTTCACAGTGCATTTTAAGTTTATTAAGTCAGCAATTTTGTCTCCATTATGTTCTCACGCTTTCCTTGACTATACATTGTCCTGAAAATGTTTTCACATATTTTATGTAATCTAACATGTTAATTAGGCTTATTTCTAAGTAAATTAGTAATTAATCTTCACCTTCCATTACATTTGCCATTCTTACGCATACTTTCGCAAAAATTGTCATTATCTATGAGCTTCATCCTTGTCGCTTTTTCGAATTATGCAATATTTATAACAATGCAATCTTGTAAAACAAAACCGTGCAAAAATGTTATTGTAAAGTGATCAGAAATTAAGTTGTGGAAGAGTGTATCTTCTCGAACCGTTTTATTTCGCATAATATCTCAATAAGTAATTTAATCGGCAGACTAAAATTTGGCCATTTTATTCAACCTTCAAAAAGAAGTTTTTCACAATCCAGTTTATTAGACTCAACGTACTTAATGACTGAGTGAATACGATAAAAAAAAGAAATATTTTCACGAAATTGAAACCAAGAAGCAGATACTTGTATGAAAAAACTTTTGATGCAGGAATGCATTTAAAGAGCTAGTGATTGGATAATTTTAAAAATCAATACTCCTTCAGGTGAAATACACTATACACCGCCAGACTTCACTGCATTAAAATGTGCCTTAAACAGCATAAGTTCTAGCCCGAGATGTAAACTGAAAAGAAAGATTTAATGTAATATCTTGAAGAATTGCTTTTGTAGGAATTTTGTTCAATTATTGACTGTATCTCATGTACGAGATCACAATTATGTTTCTGAAGTAGAGTGAATAAGCTTTATGTAACTACAGAAATGTCCAAGTGATTACATGTATCCACAGATAAAGATAATATTACTTCGTCAGGAAGGGAATTTGATTTGTCAGCAAATAGAAATAAAATGATATCGGACAATATTACTACACAATAATAAGAAAATGTAAAGATTGGTAGTTTGAGTTTCGTGATGACCAACGGCACGTTTTCGACTCGTATTACTTTATCGGGATACACCAATTACCAAGAAATGCACAACACCAAAACTGACTGAACAGTAGCATAAATAGAAGAAATAAAAGAATTTCAAAATTATTTGTTCCTTCCTGATGTCCACCTCGGAAAGCCTCTGAAGTTATCCCCACTATGATGAGCATTTTACCAAAATTTCTACTTTCACCTTTGTAAACATATAATCAGTAACCTGAACGCAGTGAACAGACAATATCATTTCTTAACTGCAATGTCATAAACATTAAAATCGTTTCTGACTACCTTAAATTCCTTTATATATATGCAGGAACAATTAAAGCAAGTTACACATGGATTTAAATAATAATTTTGAATCAAACAAACAAATTATGTATGAATATATATATATATATGCGCTAAATAAATGAACATTATATTCTGTAGTCGCAAAGAATGATGACGAACACAAGCAAAAACAAAACTACATTAACAAATTATTCAGGAAAACAAAAATAAGGTTATTCAAAAACAATGATCAAATCATCAGCATTCTGTGTATATAATATAGTTTATTTTTCGTTCTTTGAGAAGGAATCATCATAGATTACTCTATCTGCATGAAACATCTTCATTATCATAATTTGCATTCGAAAAACCATATGTCAGTGGTTAGAGAAATATATATATAATTTAGAAATAGTACTGAAACAAAAAGCGCAACTTTCTTCTATGTAACTGAATCTTTTCTTATTTTCGTTTTATTGTTACTGTTAATATTTGAATTGGAGGAAGATGAAGATGACGACGGTAATATTGATGAAACTAAATTCGTGGTGACAACTGAAACAGCGGAAGTCAGCACATTTGATATCTGAAAAGAAAACAAACGAAGATGTGTCAACTCATCGTGGGTATAAAATTATGTGTCAAACTTTTTATTTACCACTCAATGATATCATCACTATTACTATTATCCACCTGATGCATACACAATTTTTTTTTCAAATCGAACATCAATTCATTTCAAACGAGACAATAACTCTTCTTATACAGCTAAATTTCGGAAATCTCGGTTAAAAAGCACCAGCATTTAAAAATGAAGTAAAGTTTAAATTAAGCGGGAAAATATTCAAAGATTAAGTTGAGAAATACCTTCACCCAGAATTCCGAGTCAAAAGTACCTTGACATAACTGAAGAAATACCACACAAATAAAGTACAAGAGGAAAGTAGTGAAATCTGGTTCATGTTTCATCTTTTTACCTAACTTTTTCGTAGATATTAACTCATAATATCGATGGTCTCTATGTAAACTCAAAGGTATTTACAATATTCTATACAGTATGATATTGTCTACATACGTACATTGACGATGATAGCACTATTTAACATACCATTTCCCAGACAACACCGTTTGAAAGAAAACTACTACTACAGAATAACTACAGTGTGGCAAATTCAGAATAAAAATGATGAGAAGAGTTACATTAATGAACAATACTAATTATAATAATATCACGCCATAGGATAAATCAACAGATTTAATTTACATAAATGAGAATAGGCGAAAAGAAACACCTCTTCAGGAAAATAGGGCGGAAGAAAGAGGCAAGCGAAGAAAACATGAATGATTTCGAGTGTGCAGTTTTTATGAATGATCAGTCGTAATTACCATCACACCAGAAAGTTTATAGTGATTTCTTTGTGCAATTCAGGTCTGATATTGAGAAACGACAATGATGAAAGAAAATCAAGCCACTAAAGAAAAATGAAAAGTGTCCCTATTTCATTGATTGGGAAGACTAGGATGTGTTGCGCGTGGCGACCGACCGGCTTCCTCAGCGAGCAATGTACGCTGACATAGGAGCAGGTTGGAAAAGTGTTAGGGGTGGTCAAACCAATCAATCCATGAAGTCTTTGAAATTTGATTCCAGCCACGTAGGGAGACGTATACTGCTTGGTTGGGGTCCTCGGGGATCTAAAAACCGATGGGTGGAGACTTTTGGAGATAGAGCTTAAATAAATTCACTCTTTGTGATCTGCTGCATCCATGATACCCTAATATATTTTTTCCATGTTACTTATTCTATCACCCTCATATTTCTGCTTATCTATAGTACTTTTGAATTTTCTCCTCTCCTTTGTCTACCTTTGTGTGTGTGTATGTGACAACTTGATCTGTCGTACTTCTGTGCAAAGTTCTACGCTGAAATTCCGTAGGCCAGTTGTCTTCACTATCTTTTGCACATTCAAATCTTAGAGACGTCAAAAAGTTTCGGTTTTCCATTAATGTGAATGATAATCATCCAATCAAAATTAATACAAAATTCTCGAAATAGTTGATTGTGCATAAAATAATCAAATAGAATCAGTCAGCTAAATTAAGAGAACACCAAAAACACCCTGCGTTGATGTTTACAATCACAATACCTTATACAAGGCATAGTATAGTAATCAAAACAAATGTGTAGCGAAAGAGGAAGAAACCGAGATACTTGTAAATAAAAATACATTTGTACATGAATCATAAATTCACCCAAAATTGGAAGTGATAAGAAGAAAAGCGTAGTAAAATGAGCAGTAATCACAAGCGACTACTAGACAACTTTGACAATACGATGTATTTATTTTTTTATATACGAAAAGAATAAAATTGTTACAGATTCTGAAAATGCAGACACAAGTGCAACATGCATATTGAAGCGTTACCTCATTTATTAACTAACTAGCCAGCTATTTTTGAGAAAGGAAAAACACAGACATAAAAAAGGAAAGGTAAGAAGGCTAAAACGGTCAATTAACTTATTAAATTGAGCATTATAACCAGTGATGTTTTCAACCACAAATGCATAAAACTATACGCTACTGATTGATTGAGATGAGTAGTTGTAGTTACGTGGTATACAGTTTTATGCATTTCTGTTTGGTTTCCTGATTACCATATACAGTATCAAGCAAATCCCATATTGTGAACTGAATAATTTCAGTTTCTAAAAGAAACATTCGTGAAATTTCACCTCCTCGAACTGTGTAAATTGCAAATTTGATGCTTTTAAGCTGTCCAAACAATCTACTTGAAATAGAATACACACTAAAGAGAACAAATATGAGAATGAAGTCAGCAGTGATTTTAATGAAATTAACTAATATTAGTGAATGTGTTATTTCACAACGATGCCCTATATCGAAATAATCAACTGCCTGAATTAGAATGGTGACTTTATTTGTTTGAATAAAGCAAGAACAACAGTGGTTTGTGCAGACTAATATGGTACCATCATTTGTTTCGTTGGCTTCTCATCATCTGCTTACAGCCTAAATAAATTATGAGGTTTAATGTACAGAAAAGTTTTAACATACTTGCAAATTTTTCATGATGTTAGTTGATAGAAAGTCCCACAATTAGTGAACAGTGCTTAGAGAATTTCACTTATATACTTTTACACAGACAGTTCAAGTTTAAAGAAAATAAATGTATGCATAAACTGGCGAAGGAGTTATGTAATAAAGACGACAGATGCGTAAGATGCTGAGTGACTAATAAATTAAGTAACAATGTACTGAGTTCAACTCAAATCATGGAAACAAGAGACAAACAAATTACGATATGTCAAAGACGTGAGGTTAAAGCCAAAGACTACGTAATCAAAATGAAAGAAAGAACAAGGAAATCCAGCTACGAGAGTAAAGATAGACTAATAACTGCTTCTTTCTGAATACATAAATCTTGTTTTAAACCTTTGATAGAAAGTGTTTCGGCAAACTTGAGGAGAATCGAACTCCTTTGTCTATTGACAATTTTAAAAGATTTCGCGATTCCCACTCCATGACCCGTATCGAGGAGATGTCTGGTAAAGCGCTATTATAAGTGTTTGTTCCCTTGAAACGTAGGCTTTTCGGCACATGTTCAGGAAATCGGTGTGCCCTTCTTTCTGTTCTACCAATGTAACTGCTCCCGCAGATGAGCAATATTGAGGTTAGGCGTCGAGTGCTAGGTAAGGCGGGGAAATCAATCGACGAAACGGTGAAATTACTTCGACTGAGATGGTTAGGACATGTGCTACATATGCCTAGTCATCGCCTTCCTCGACGGGCAATGTTAGCTGATATAGGGCCAGACTGGAAAAGAGCTAGCGGCGGTCAAACGAAAACATGGCACCAGTCAATGAAATCCACAACAGTTAGTTTAAGCCACGTAGGAAGGTGCAGACTTCCTGGTTGGGGTCCTCGGGATGGTAAAAACCAACGGTTGGAAACAATTGGTGACATGGCTCAAAATCGTTCTCAGTGGCGCAGATTCATCCACTCCTTGTGACTTATGATTTCCAATTAAACTGTTTTGTTCTCCGTTATTACTATTCCTTTGTCTCACACCTCTGTTTACTGTCTATATTATGCATTTCTTCTACTTTCTTCTCTTGCTTTGCGTGCTACATAGATTGTGGCGACTTGAACAGCCGCACATATGTGCAAAGTTCTGTGTCGAAAACCGACCGACCGACCGCTCCCGCAGATACACGTAAATTTGTAAACACAGCTGGAGTTAACATGAGAAGAGTATCTGTCGACTTTTGACTGCATCAAAGAGCATGTTGTTCGATGGATGGGAACCAACTTAGCTGCAGGATAGGCTCTGGCTAGTGACGTACTCAGTGTTCTGTTGACTATCGCTGCAATGTTTTCACCTTCAAAATCTTGTTGAATGAAGACAGGCTTTTTTTCAACTAAGATTTGTTTGATGTTTGAGCCTTCACATCTTCCATATCTGTTAATGAATCTTTGACGGTAACCGTTGTTTTTCAACACCTTTTCAAGAATCGTAAATTCTTCCTCTAGTTTCTCTGCAGAGCATATTCTCGCTCCATAGTACAGAGTCTTGACTAGTGCTCGTTTATAGCTATTTGGACAAAAACTATTAAAACGTAAGTATTATCCGTTCCATGTCAGATTTCGGTAAATTAACCTCTGGAGACTATCATCTTCTAGGCGTTGCATGGTATTGTCAAGGAAATAGAACTTACCATCATTTGTGCAGTAATTAGGTAACATTTTGTGTACACTCAGTCAAGTAATACACTTACTGTGAGACAGAGAACGCTATGTCATACTAGTTCGAATAACAAGCACTTTGCAAGACTATTGAAATAAAGACTAGAATGGAATATTTTCCGTATAGCTTATAACAAATTAGATTCCTGTCTAACATCAAACAATGATACTTAAAAACCTAGTGATTAATAAAGCAATAGTGATACCTCGATCAAACTAGGATTACAGTATGATTATAATAAATAAAGCTGAATGTGTACTCAGAGTTAAGTTAGTTACAGATGAGTCGTCAAAATTCGTGGTTGGTAATTCCAACGAAAACATGAGGTTAAAAGGAAGCTCTGTGAACTTTTGAAGAATATGGTCAACTAGGTACAGAAAACGTCGTCTATGTAGGTAGATAAATATTCTAAAGACACCTATTTTACCTACGGTACACTTATCAGTTCATGAGATCACCAGATGTTCAGCTAAAAAACTGGGACCAATTAGTGAAAATGTGGTAGTGGATATTCTTGAGTTCAAGAGAACAAAGATGTATTGAACAGTGAAAGCAAAGCTGTAAGATAATAATTTATCAATAATAGAGGAGCTATGTGAAAAAAATACTTTTCTAACGAACAAGAATCCAGCTAACATAGGTGATTTCCGTGTACTCTTCGGCTGGTATACTTTCCATATGATGTCTAACGGTGGGCATGAGTTTATATTAAGCTGTTAAACGAGATACGCCGGAAAAACAAAGAAGAGCCTACCTTAGATTTCCCGAACGCATTCGGAACACCTTGAGGTGGTTGCCTGGTATTTGTACATGTGGTACACCTCGGAATACTTTCACCATAATGAGATAAAAATGTCTAACTTATAAAATTCACTGGAGTTATCACTACACTAGAGCTCTTAAGTTGTGTAATCAAGAAAAAGTGATACTAAACGTTAAGTGTTGCAACTCTTCTGGATTATATGTATATATATAAGTTTGTGCATAGACATTATAGTAAATTAGGACATGTGAAAAAAATAACACACTGTGGTGTGTTGGTTAAGGCAAAGAGATAAAAATATTTGACCTGTATAAGTACAAATATACAAATGCAAAAAACATGTACTTTAATGACGTTTACTACTTTACAAAATCCTTGTAATAAGTACAATAACCGATGAAGTGGAAACAATGAAAGGGAAGGAATTAAAATTTCCAATAGGTTTACAAATAGCTTAGAACAACAACAACAAAACAAAAACAAACGAAAATTTCGTGAAACATAGAAAACTTACAAAATCCCAAAAGTGACCGACGACTTTCACTTATTTATTTTATTTATTTATTGGCTTATATAAAACTTAGAAGCCAAGGATTTACTACAACAACAGAATAAACACAGAATCTAATAACCAATACGTCCAAAAGAAAATTGCCTGACATCATTAAAGATATATTAAGTCTAAGTAAGAAATAAGGTGGTCGACGGTTTAGCTCAAATTTACAAATGAAAATAACTTTAAAACAAACATGGATTTTGCGGCACCTTTTTTAAACATCGACCCTAGAACTCTATAATTTTTCATCCAACAAGACTACATCTCATAGGGTTCTGAATAATGCTCAAAAAACTGATGAACTTGGTGTATACGGATGTATGCGGGTAAGCAGCAGTCATCACATTTTAGAAATTAAGTAATTAGGAGTTTGATTGGATGGAAGATTTCCTCATGAGCTGACATCATTTAGAGAACCACTGGAAAACCTGGGAGTACTGGACAGCTGTTTCGTCCTAGCTTGGGATTCTTCATCAGTACGCACCCACCGGGTTCGAACCAAGGACCATCTGGTCACAGGACGAAACAGCTGTCCAGTACTCCCAGGTTTTCCAGTGGTTCTCTAAATAATGTCAACTCATGATGAAATCCTCCATCCAATCAAACTGAATCCCTACAAAGCCAATACTTGATAATTAGGAGTTGTTTATTCACACACAGAACAGATTCATTGGACTTTAAAAATCCAATATCAATGTCAGTGCAGTGTTACTTGTAGCTCTACATGTATGAAGTTCCTTCAGCATTTTACAACTGTATACTTCCAAATAAATCGCCATTATTTATGGTTAAAGCATATGTGAAACTGTGGGTCGCTGATCTAGGCAACCGACTTCCAACCACTGTATAATCGGTGTGAACCTAATCGACCGTGTATTTTAGTTCCCTATATATGGTATATATTAAAAGAGTGAATTTTGAGTGTTTCGTCAAACTTGCATGTCTGCATCAAAGGGCGAAGGATGAGGATGACAGACTTTAAGAAGGAAACAGAGCTCTGCAAAAAAAATATTTAACGTCTGAAAACCGCACAGACTTTCTAAACTCCTAAAAATAGCAGGCCAATGATAAAGGTGAGGCGTAACAACAAATATGAAGACTATGTAAATTATAAATCACGCTATGATTATTGATTTTAGGTGATAAAATAAGTAATACACAACGGATCCAAAGTCAAGTGAACATGCTGAAATGTCGCTTCAGAAAAAAAAAAAGAAACAATTATATTAAGGTGTTATTTTTTCAACTCAAACAGTACAATGCATAACTAAATTTTTAAAAAAATACCTTGTAAACAATTGATTGTTGACTTCCAGATCGACTACTCTGATTTCTATTCGTAAAATTTACATCTTTTAGTGATTCATCTTTATTTTCTGGATTATTTGAACTTTCCGAGATTATGTCATCTTTACAAATTGATTTTCTTGTGTTGCATGTTACTGATTGTGTGTTTTTATCCAAAGTAACAGATTCATTGATATCGGAGCTCTTATTGTTGACATTAAACCGATTTACATGCTCTCTTAGTTCTTTATTCCAATACTGAAAAAATAATTTGGATAGCTCTTCCAATCGTGATTGTCTTAAACGTTGTAAATCATCACTAGAACGTAGGTCACTAAACAGAGAGAAAACATGAGGTAAAAATTACTAGAATATTCAGCTCTTCACACAAATAAAAAAATTATCAGTACACAGTGTCATTGCAGTGTTCCAATAAAACGAGATATTAATGATGCTTAATAGGACATTCTAGCGACAACATAGAGTGCAGAGAAATAAACTGTTTTCAAGTGTTGGTTGGCAGAGATTTGATTGATTACAGGTTTGGTGACGAGCTGACATCAGTTAGAGGACCATTCGGAAAACAGGGGGGACTAGACAGTTGGTTAGTGCTATTTCGGGACTCTTCAGCAGGATTCAAACCCGGGAGTTTCCAGTTACAAGGTGATCTCTAAGACCATTCAGCCATTGGAACCCCATCCAGTGGTCCATGAATTCCAACTTCTACGAATTTGAGGTATATAGCGCTACCATCAACCAATGTCAGAGGGCAGTAACCGACCTGGTGGACCCCACTGGTTACCACTTCCCACCAAAACTATAGGTGATTTCCTATATACAGACAGTTGCTGGTGAGCATCAGATGATTTTATTAGGTGAAACAATTCTGTTCACTTAGCTCCGGTTGACTCTTTGCCTGACCGTAAGGTCCCGTGTCCGAATCCCGGTAAGTGCGTACAACAGAAAAGTAAGTTGTTGCCTACGTTCGCCTGATACCGAAGTTAACAATATACATATATATATATATATATGTATATAGTGTAACATCAAATTATGCATTGCAACATTTTTGAAGAGCAAAGATAAGAAGTAGGGTTTATTAAAACTACTCCACTTAATGTTAATATTTTAGTTATATGATGATTTGAAGCGAACAGCAAGTCGCTAAGTGATATCGTTATAGTATCTGTAGTCTATTTTATCAGACACTGAGGTCCCTCATTACAGATGTTAAGTAAGAGCACTAATGAAATAAAATTACACGAAACGTCATCACCAACTACTATCGGCCAATGCTACCTACAAAAAATTACCGATTGAAGCGTGAGTACTTTTCGACTACCTGAAGTGTGAGTATTTTAGTCATCATAATATGGAAGGATGCTTAAATTAGATGATTGATTGACTTTATCTTCAAATGAACTTCAAACAAGCTCAACAATACACAAACGATGCTTAATAACCAACTATGTTCAATCGGTTTTCTTTGTTTATTCAAGCATCAACTTAATCCGATTATTTTTCCTATTTATTTTTGAGTTTCATTTTTTTACATGATATTCAATGAATGGTTGCCATAGAATATTTTTTGTTAAGAAATGTTTGTTAAATTGCTTATAAATAGTAATTTTTCTGAATCTGCTGATCGCCTTATGGATTAATTACTAGAAATTTTGTAAAAACGAATATGAACTATTGTTTAGTTTTAAGCATGAAATTATTTCACTGAATTTCATAATCTTATGATTTATTTCATTATTTGAAGTACGTAAAAAAGTTTTTCCCCTCTAGTCCGATATGCCTATTCCATTGAATTAATTTGGATAATGGTTACGATTGAAGAAACAAAATATACATTGATATTGAAGTACTGGTTTGTAGGGATTTGATTGATTGATTACAGGGTTTTATCATGAGCTGCCATCGGTTAGAGAACTATTGGAAAGCCTGCAGGGAGTAGTGGACAGCTGTTTCGTCCTAGTTTGGATCTCTTCAGAAGTTCGAACCCCGTTGGGTGCGTACTTCTGAAGAGTTCCGAACTAGGACGAAACAGCTGTCCACTACTCCCTGCAGGCTTTCCAATAGTTCTCTAACCGATGCCAGCTCATGCTGAATTCCTGCAACCAAAATACACATTGATTGTAGCTCATCTCAGTTGCTCTGTTTATTGAGAGGTTAACCAATTGAGGCATTGAATTTTAATGATGGCTGTCATTTAATCGGATTATTACGCATGATGATAGTATTTAGTAATTTGAACAAATACTTAATATTTATTGGACAAAAAATGTATGTTCAGAATGATTCTTAAACGGAGATCCCTTCTTTAAGGCACAAAAATATGAATCTCTATATTTTCATTTATCAGTCTTTTACATACACAACCTACTGTTATCATCAAAGCCATATTGATGAATAAAGAAGATATATCCAAGGATATTAACAATGTATTGTTCATCATTAATTCTTTGATTCTATCCATGGTAAGTTCAGCTAACTATACCATGAAACTACGAAAGGACTGATGCAGCTCCAAGAAAAAATTGTAGAACATGGAGTGAAAGACCCTTTTAAGTTTGTGGGGAGAATAAAAAATTAAAGCTCAATGATAAGTTTATGATATTCTTGGGTGTGTCTTCTATATTCACCAATGTGCATTTGATAGAAGTAATTAGTTTGGATTGATCATCAGTAAAAAAAAAATAAAAACAGTTATATAATTAGAACAGCTACAGAACTGCCCGTGGACACTAATCCACCAAAAAAGCAGAAGCCTTGAGTGCAGTCAGGCTACTGAAACCCGAGAAGGAATTAGGACCTAACGGAATTCCTCCAAAGGCACTGAAAACGGATCCAGAGACCGCAACAGATAAGCTGAAGCCACAACTGCAGAAGTTTGGAGGGAAGGAAGAGTACTTACTGTTTGGTTATCTTATCAAACAACTAACCAAGGGCGACATAGGCCTTCACAAGAACTGGTGTGGAATAATGCCTTTGTCTAAGCCAAGTAAAGTACTAAGTTGCATCATCCAGGAAAGGTAGAACAAAAGATGCACTGGATGCAGAAATCCACCAACCTCAAAGACCAGAACACGCTGCATTCAGGAAAGGCAAATCACCATGTGCTGGTCAAATTGTAGCTCTACGCATCAACATCACACAACAAAACATAGAATGGCAGTCAAAACTCTCTCTACCTCAACTTCATCGACTTCGAAAAAGCCTTCGACAGACAGTGTTGACCAAGAAGTAATTTGGAAACTACCTCAACACTACAGCGGGCAGTGTTCAAATAGTTATCAACCGCATTCCACAGCTGCTTATTTGACAATGCTACGTGTCAGGTGATCCACGACTGAAAACTCAGCGAGGCCTTTGAAGTGAAGACAGGAGTAAGACAAACTGGCTGTCTCATCACCGATGTTATTCCTAATTGTGGTGGACTGTGTCAGACTGGGGAGATCGGGAAGACAGGGATACGTTGGACCGATAAGAAGACTCGAGAAGACCTGGATTTCACAGATGGTTTATGTTTAATGTCACGCAAACTCGAACACTTACAGGAGAAAACCAACAAACTGGCTGAAGAAGTAGACAGCGAAGACAGGACTGTAGGTGAACATAGAGGTGATGAAGATAACCAACCAACAGCAACAACAACCAGCACCAATCATTATCAACAGAAGAAATTTGACATAGATAACTTCCTTCAATTATCAAAGCCGCATCGTTTTAACTACAGATGGGACGGATCAGAATGACAAAAGCAGAATCAGAAAGGGAGAGCATATCTTCATCACTCTGAAATGGGTTTGGAAATCTTCCGCACTCCACAGCATAAATAATATGATTCAGATTTTAAACACTAATGCTATGTCAGTCAATTTTTCTTTATGGGTAATAAAACTAACACCCACGTCACTAAAAGCATTTCCAACAGGCTACCACAGACTTTCATCAATAGCTGTCTTCGCTCCATATTGAAGATCAAGTGACCAGAAAGGATTGGCAACAAGGAACTCTGGGAACGAATCAACCAAGAGCCTATTGCTCAACAAATACTTAGAAAGAAATGGAGATGGGTAGAACACACACCAAGGCGACCGGTGAGTGACATCGCGCTCCAGGTCATATCTTGCGTGGAATCCGAATGGGAAACGACGAGTGGGGCATTCGAGAGTGACACGCAGGAGACTAGAGACTATGGGCATTTATGAAGCCAGTTGGAGAGGGTCGTAGATAATAGGGAGAAGTGGAGATGTGCTGTTGGAGACCCATGTACTACTCGAAACCTAAGGGAACGATAAACAATAACAATAAGTAGTTGAAACGACCAATGACAGTACAAATAATTCAGCAGTGAAGCACGGTTACCATCTGCGAACCTATAAGGGATGTGATAAAACGTGACGGTTAATCTTACTAAGTTTATTAGTATTAAAGCTTGTTATTTCAGTACAATTTCAAAAAAAAATCCAAACTTTATGATACTTTTCAACTAGGAGAGATATTATTTAAAGGAGAAAAGAGAACCACAGTGCACTGAATAGTTATTATTTTATCATAGTTCAATACTCAGAAATATGTACAAAAATCATCACAAAAGACTGAATTGAGTATTTGTATACATTAAAACAAGCAGGCAAGCAAAAAAAAACAAGCAAGCAATCTAATGATTATGCTGGAAACTAGTGGTTCACATTTTTAAACCCAAAAGGTGAAGAGGTAACAGATTCTTCAAGTGACCTGATAAAAATGGGTTTGATGTGATGTAACGTGACGTTGCGATTACCGTACACTCCAGGAAAGACGAACAAAGGAGAGCAAGTTGTTCGTTAATACCCCCGAATCACAATGAGATATTAAGTTTCATGCAAATTTAAGAAAGACAGTTCGAAAGTGTATAGGTGAACGAAAAAGCTAGAACAACAACACCATGCAAACAAAACTACCAACACTGTGAAACTTACATAAACGGTGAATCATCTGAATCTGAATAATTAAATTTCAAGAAAATTATTTAAACAATAAATAATTACGAAATGGAAATGATAGATGAACATAATTTAGTGAAATCACTTCATATATGGCAAGATTCACAACTCATAAGACTACGACACTAGGGTAAGTATATGATATCATACTTGTATCGGTATAGTATTATTATTATGGTATCCTTTAATTCCTACAGGAACATAGGGTTTCAGCCATGCGTCTCCATTGCGTTCTGTTCTCTGCTAGAGTCTTCACCTTGCTCCAAGTCTGCCCACACGTTTTCATCTCCTCTTTACATGACCTCCTCCAAGTCACCCTTGCACTGACGACCAACTCGCTGCTTCCCTTTCGGGTTCCACTCGAGCAATGGCTTGTCTAGTGATGTCACTTGATGGTTTCCTCAGAGTATGGCCAGCCAATCCATCTCCATTTCTTCCTACCTATTTGTTTCACAATCGGTTCCTGCTGTGTTGGTTCGCTCCCAGAGATCTCCGTTGCTGATCTTTTCTGGCCATCTGATCTTGAATACTGAGCGAAGACAACTGTTACTGAAGGTCTGTAGTTTGTTTGAGATGCTCTTTATGACGCGCTGGCCAAGTCTCTGATCCGTATAGTAGCACTGACTTCACATTGGAGTTGAAAATCAGGATCTTATTTTTGATGCTGAGTGTTGTTGACCTCCACACAGACTTGAGAGTAGTGAAAGCTTGTTTTGCTTTTCCGATTCTTGCTTTGATATCCTCGTCAGTTCCGCCTGTAGTTGAAACGATGCTTCCAAGGTAGGTAGAGGAGGTTGTTTCTTTCAGGTTCCTCCCATTTATGCTGATTGTTGTCAGTTGTTGTTGTTGCTGTTGGTGGATCATGATATATAATTAAAAAATATAACTAAGGAGAGGGAACCACGAAGTCATTTCTGCATGCATTGAAACATCTTAGTGATACACGCTGAATGTCATACGAGGGACTAAGTCACAAATCGCTGGGTTTTCATACTGACACAACAACATTGCACTGCTAAACCGGCCAGTGTTTTCCGATTTCTGCGAATTCACTAGAAAGGATAAGCGATTATCTCCATAACCAACAAATTTCAACTTGGTTTCGAGTTGGTCTTTAAGTTGTGTTGTTATGTATAGTTAGAAAAAACTTACTGGCTAAAACCTTGAAAATGACCTTATTTAAATTGGTCATGGGGTGTTGTCTAATAACGAGTTGAGTTAACAATTTTATTTGGTTAAATAAATGAAATCAGTTTATTGGTGTTACTTATCTGTTAACTAGTATTGAAATTAACTGTTCATTCTAGAAATTCAAAATATGCAATACTGTGGTGGTGTGATGCAGACAGTGTGTGCCAACGGAATATCATTCTTACATATTCCCATGGTTCAATACAGCATTAACAACAGAATACGATATATCTATTGGAACATTCTGTTTGGTGCTAGAGTCAGAATATAATTCTCACAGTTCCATACTGTGTTAGCACCTGAATACTATATAAATTTGAACAATCTATTTCATGTCGTTTATTGTAAGCCAAAATCACACCCTCGAAGATAGGTTAGAGAATATAAAACCTGTATCTACGTAAATAGCGGCTTGATCACTTGAAAATATACCTTAGCTTCCATATCAGTAGCCTTTTTTTGGTGGTTTGACAGAATAAAAATGAAATTACCGCAAAGTGAGGATAAAGTAAGACCTCTATAATCACTTCACAAACACCTCATGAAAAATGGGCAATTACCTGAATTTTTAGAGTCAGCTGTAACGTGAATGTCATACCTGCAAAATGAAAAGAGTAGAAGGTATGCTTAATCGATAAGACACAACATTTTTAAAATGGGATGAATAGTAAAGTCAAATAACGCTGTTCAAAGTCTATTTCCATTTGTGTGTAACCTACTGGCTGTCTAAACCTAGGGGGGAACAAACTAGTGACCCAGTTTGAGCACCCAAATCACAGCTCAGCGACGAATAACAATACTAATAATAATAGTCAGGCTTGAAACTTACACTTTACGCAGGGATAAATCTGTACAATTAGCAATTTCACTGATAAACTGGAATGTAAACCGTAATATCTCTTCTCCCAACTCCATACGTGTTTGTAATTTATGACCAAATAAAAACCAATCATAACCCAAAGTCAGATATAACATTTGAATTGGTTTGAGACTAGAATGCATTAAATCATCTGCCCATAATAGACAGCGTAAAAGACAAATAAACAATGGTGTACGATCCCATCCAGAAACACAGTGTAACAACAATCCGCCAGCACCTAAATTATGATTTGTAAACATAAATTAGTAAAATTAATCAACAAAATCTTAGGACATATATAAGCGTTTATTGTCATTTGAATAAAAGATGAATTAATAAATTTAAAAAACTAATTTTCGTAATAAACAACACCTTCAATGGAAGGCATTTTCAATTTTTTTTCCTTCACGTTCCCAGTGGAACATAGGGCTTCAAGCTAGTAGCTTGAAGTCTCTGTAGCAGTGTTTATTTTACAGAATGGGGTTGCTAGCCTCATGCCCAACCTTTCCTCTTCACCAGCATTATTTCTGGCTTAGCGAGGTAAAGGAGTGAGTCGGCCGGGGATCGAACCCCGGACCATGTGCATGGTCAGCGAGCGTCCTAACCGCTATGCCACCGATGTCAGGCATTTTCAATTACATTTCTAAATTATTAAAATGCATGTTTAAGTATTAATAGAGTTGACGTTGTCATGTAACAAGAGAATTAACTTTGTACTCTACCAACTACTGCATAATAGACTGTATGCGACCTGTTTTCTTCGATTTAAACTTGCTGTCGTCTTAACGCTAGAAGTTTAATGTGTCTAAACGAATATCTACTCTCAACTAGTGTTGCTTTCATTATTAACCGCTGCGTACCGTTACTAGAATAACATTTTGTTCGTTTATAACTGAAAAGTCTTTTGATTGTTATCCCATTGCATATATAAAGCACAGATATGGCCACTAGCCAAGTAAGTGTCCCCCAAACTATATTTGTTATCATCTGGTTTACAAAAGGGTTGTGTTTGAATCTCGTAAACACCGCATACATATGTGACCAGAGATGATATGAATTGCGACTGGTAAAACCTGTGGTTCCAATAAACATAAATTGAAGACACTGAAGGCATGTACATGTGTTGTTGAACCAAGTTCTGAAAAAAACCAGTACAGTGATCATGAATTCATGTCATGAGAAGATGAAGACATTTAAGAATTATTATTTAAGATAGATGCGAAAAATACAAAAGGCAGAGAGAAAAATTACACGATGATTAGAAGGGGTTTCGGTGAATAATTGAAACATCTAAGCCACCTACATAATGAAACGTACTTTAAAGAGAAATCAGTCCTGAAATGGGACTGCAAGTCAGATCGTTAATAAATCCTTTATATCATTATTATTACTATTATTACTATTTGTATGTCTTGTTGACCGGTCACTATTGGGCTGAAATGCTCGGTCTCTATTGGTGTGTCATGTCCTAGTACGGACGCTTTGACGACACCTGAAGGTGTTTTATTGTTGAAATGAGGTAACTAAACTGTAAGCCATTACAATCTTAGTTTTACATCTCTTGCACTCTTCTACCCACTTTAAATATCTGGACTTGACCAATAAGGTATTTTCACCCTTGGCTTCGATATTGTCGTTTATTTCTCGGTCGCACACAGTAGAGACATTATGGTATTTATAGTATTCACCTAATAGATTTTAATAAAATTTTGATGAATTAATTAAATCCTACTTTACTAACATCTGCTGTTTGTTTTAAATCCTTTCTTCCTACAACAAAATCGTACAGCTCCTTAGAGGTGCTAAATGTCCTACAAAAAGGTTTTCTGCTATAACACTCCAGTACCAGCTTGATCATTAACACCATTCACTAATGATTAACACACATTCAATCGATAAGGGACGTGTGAAATGAAGAACGGTGCTAAGTAATAATAGTTCTGTCAGAACATAACTAAAAGTTATAATCTGGTTTCCGAATACACCGATCATAGGCTGACTACAGAATTGAACTTCTATTTTAGGCTTTATTATTACTTAAGTACTTGTTTGTGAATCACATGTTAAAGTTTCTTATAGAAATACTACTCTAAATTATAATATACAAAAAGAAAATAAGCTATATTAATAAACGTCTATATTTCTCGAATAATATTGTGTTCATTTCCATTCAACAAGAAATATTTGAAGTGAGATACATTTTTATTTTAATATACTTCATAACGAAACCTTCTATAAGATACACAGTGGTCCTGGGAGTTAAGACACAGTGAAACAGGAAGCTGTAGATCCCGCAATCGTTTTCAATTCACATGTTTAATCTTGTGGAAGGCCCTACTCTTCCAGAGATTGCAACCCACTACTAAGTATTACACTTAGAGACTAAACAACAAGTGAATAACCCCTTTTAACACTAAATGATTCACACCAATAGTCCAAAGGGAGATACCTATGCAGCTCTCACACACTCTCAACGCTGACAGTAGTCTACCATAACAATGGAAGCACCACCAATAAACTGAGATCAACACAAGTTATGTCAGTTATGCTACCTCATGAACCATCTTTATAAGTGAAGCCAACTTTCGTTATTTTATGACATCGACTAAGACGGATGAGAAACATATTATTCAAAATTGACTATCAACTACTAAGTACTACTACTAAAGTAAATTAGGGTTGGCAGCAAGATCAAAATTAAGAATAAGCAAATGCGGATTATTACAAATTTTTCAAGATGATAAGAATTTGTTAACCAGTTAGTTTCGTCTAAACACATTATGTTTCTTATTTTTTAGAACCACGAATTCCCTGTTGGTAATTTTAATGAACCGAATCGATTGGTGACTCTATATTAGACTACTCCAATCGGCTTATCTAATAATTATATCACGTTGATATGATTATGAGCAACAAATTATGCATACAATGTCCAGAAAATAAAACTGTATTACTGAGTACTTTTTGAGAAAAAGTAAAGTAATATGGAACTCCAAGTCCAGGGATTACTGGGCAGATTTTTTGTTTTGGCTGGGGACTATTCAGCAGTATTAACCCACGACCCAGGATCTTCAGGTTATAAGGTGAGCCCGCCGGCCATTCAAACACTGAGACGGAATCCAATGGCCCATGGATTCTAACCCCTGTCAGTTAATGGTTTATAACGCCACCGCCGGCTAGTGTCATTGGCGAGTATTAATTCTCACACTCAACCTCGTGGACCCCACTGGTCACGACTTCTCATTAGAATTCCAGGCAACTTAGTCCTATTGGTACTGACGCTCAGTATTCGAATGAACGATGACTTGGCCGCTGAAACGATAAGAGTCACAATTGTAATGTGATTATATGTGGACATAAATGTATATCAAGATGATAAATACCTAATGAGACAAGAAATGTATCACAGATTCCATCATTTAAAAAAAATTAATATAGCTTGAAACCACACAGCTGACACAACGGTTTTAACAGGCTTACCAAGTAGTATGATTTTAATTTGGTAAGCAAAAACTAACTGTTTTACATAGAAACTAACTTTTTGCATAAATAGTTACAAAGCATATTACAAATATGAGGGTCATTTTAAATTAGTAATAGCATTCGGAATAATATTAATAAAAGAAAATATCTTATACCTTCATAAAGCAAACCAAGGAGTAGTTTCATATAGTTCATAGTTATTGTATATATATCCCAGGACTATGTGAAAGAAATGAAAAGAATGCATTCACTCAGTAACTGTCAGACGAATAAACACAAGTAATATAAATCGATGAAAACAATCCCGAAACTGTTGTTGTCCATTGTGTGTTAAACACGCTAGTCTAAAACCAGACTTGGCATTTAGCGACAAGCGAAAACATTAAGGTATGCACAGACAAAATAAACACTATAGCATCTTATTAAGTTGTGGATATCATTTGTTGATGTGATTTTTGCCTAACTAGGTTACTCTCCAATAGCAGAACAATGAATGACCCAGTGTTAGGACTCGTACATATTTGGCAATGAATATGAAGTAAGTAGGCAGGAAGTAATCTGTAAGTTTAGAAAAATCTATCCATTCAGGCTACATTAGTGTTCCTATACAAAAGAACAGATGGTTGTTCGAAGCTCTTGATCATCATTCGTCGATTTCCATAAAAGAAACATTTCCCAGGATTTTTTTAAATTATTTGCTAGTTTTCCGATCATTCCTATCTACGTTTGCACAAGTGTACACAACATAGTAGCTAGAGAGTTTCTGTGTGATCAATTACCAAGTTTGTAAATAATCAACCCATTAGGCTAGTCATTTTGATAAAAGAATAGGTTGATACAGGAACAGTTTTCTTTACCCTGAAAATTGAACACAGTTCATGAAAACTAACACTTGTGTTATCACAACCACTATAATACCATAATTAATTAAGACAATAGGCTAACTAGTCAAACACCGAACAGAAAGTAAAATATTTATGGGAGATTAACAAAATCCATGGGAATCAAAAATCCCAAATTGTGAACATTCTATAATGAAAATTACCCAACTCAGTCTATTGATAATCATAATATAATAATTAGAAAACAGTTCTCTTTTAGAGTAACATCGTTTAGGGTGGAAGTTATTGGTTGACGATGGTTTGATTGAAAAATCAATTATTCTTCGTTCATTTTCGTGTTGTTGTTTTTGTTTTTTATTAACTTTTAAGTGGGAGCTTTCACTACATTTATATACTGAGAGCACTTGAGCAATAAACCGTCTGTATAAACAAATACAGTTCAATTGTTCTTGTTTGATCCCTCATTTTAGGTGGACTTAAATGGTAATCAATTTCCAAATTTGATGTATAGTGTGATATAGAAATTGTAAGTCAGTTTATAAGACTACACATTCTCACCCCCTGTGGTTACCGCCATATGTTAAACTATCATCTTCTTTGACGAGCAGTGCTGACAGGAGTAGAACTAAGTTGAAAAAGAGTTAGGGGTGATCACAGTAAAACATACCGAAACCCTATGAAGTGACTAACTATTAGTCTGAATCAGGTATAAGGATGTAGAGTGTCAAGCTGGGTTCCCAGGAATGTTAAAAATCAAAAGGTTTATAGATCGTTATTATTAACTTGGCTAAAGATAAACTCACTCCTCGGTATCTTCAAAATTCAGAACACCTTTACAATGCACTATGAAATTATTTTCCTATTCATAAATGTCTATTTAGTCAATGCAAGAACTGGCGCGGAATTATGCTCTTGTCCATCCCAAACAAAATACTAAGCCACATCATCCTAGAGGGAATCAAGATGCCCTAGATGAAAAGCTTCGACCGGAACTGGCTGGATTCAGGAGAAACAAGTCATGCATTGATCAGATCACCACATTACGAATCATCATTGAACAAAGCTTGGAATGGCAGTCACCTCTCTATCTCAACTTCATCGACTTTGAAAAGGCATTCGACAGCGTCGATTGAGAGGTGATTTGGAAACTACTTCGCTACTACGGCGTGCCACCGACAATTATACATCTCATCCAACAGCTATACGACAATGCTGCATGCCAAGTAATCCACAACGGGAAACTTACGGAATCCTTCGAAGTGAGGACAGGAGTAAGACAAGGCTGGCTGCCTACTATCGCCAATGATTTTCCTGATTGCAGTAGACTGGATAATGCGATAGACAGCGGGCAATGAGGAAACAGGAATAAAATGGACTCACACAAAAAACTTGGAGGCTCTGGACTTCGCCGATGATATATGTCTGATTCCCCACAAACTGGAAGATATGCAAGCGAAGAGCAACAAGTTGGCAGAAGAAGCATCAAAGATAGGAGGGACTTCAGGTGAACATAGATAAAACAGAGATGATGAAGATTCCTGGGCAACACCACCGACAGCAACAACAACAGACAACAATCAGCATAAATGGGAGGAACCTGAAAGAAACAACCTCCTTTACCTACCTGGGAAGCATCGTTTCAACTACAGGCGGATGGAATTGACGAGGATATCAAAGCAAGAATCAGAAAAGCAAGACAAGCTTTCACTACTCTCAAGTCTGTGTGGAGATCAACAGCACTCAGCATCAAAAATAACATCCGGATTTTCAACTCCAATGTGAAGTCAGTGCTACTATACGGATGGATCAGAGACTTGGCCAGCGCGTCATAAAGAGCATCTCAAACAAACTACAAACCTTCATTAACAGTTGTCTTCGCTCAATACTCAAGATCAGATGGTCGGCCAGAAAGGATCAGCAATAGTGAGGGATCTCTGGGGGCGAACCAACCAGGAACTGATTGTGAAACAAATAGGCAGGAAGAAGTGGAGATGGATTGGCCATACTCTTAGGAAACCATCAAGTGACATCACTAGACAAGCCATTGCTCAAGTGGAACCCGAAAGAGAAGCGGCGAGTTGGTCGTCAGTGCAAGGGTGACTTGGAGGAGGTCATGTGAAGAAGAGATGAAAACGTGTGGGCAGACATGGAGCTAGGTGAAGACTCTAGCAGAGAACCGAACGTAATGGAGACGCACGGCTGAAACCCTATGTTCCTCTAAGAATTAAAGCAAACAATAATAATAAATAATAATTCATAAATGTCTATTTTACTTTATCATAGATACTTTCCGAAGTGTGACAACTTGAATTGTTGCACTTCTCTGAAGAATTATACCATGACTTGTCAACTAGTTAGTTTATCTATATTCATTTTGTTCAGTTCTTTATCCCCGCGATATGATATACCACACTCAAGTTTTCTGTTATATTCACAGAAATACTCTACAGTTTTTATGAGTGTATGGAAGAAAACATGACGAGCACAAATATCACAGTTTACTGAGGTTTATAATAAATCTAGACTAACCTTGTAAGAACTCCATTCTATTGAAGCTGAAAACAGAGTTTTGGGGATAAGATCTGGATTCACAGGTACTTCAACACCTGACTACGATTATTAAAAAAAAAGAATGCCAAAGTAATGAATGTTGTGGAAATTTTTAAAAAAAAAAACAGAACATATTTTTGATTAAAATTAGTGATAATCTACTTACATCAAACTTGTGGGAAAATTTTTTTTAACAGAACCAAAATCGAATAACTGAAAGCAGTTAGCATAAATTATGCTTTGTATAGACATCAGTAAGTATACAGGTCCAGAAATGATAGGCCATTATATATATCCACGTGAACTGCAGCTCAAAATATCATTACTGATTTGTTTAGTGATGATTATATGATGATGTAATAGAATCACTCATCAGATGTCAATTAATATTACACCTACAATAACCTATTTTATTTTCAGTCATCTGATACTAGAGAAGCATTAATCCACGACGCTCGGCAGTCAGCTTACCCTCCTTGTTGACCATTAATGATTATGGTACAAAATCGCTTGACAAATCATATTATTATTCAGGTAATAATAAATTATTCTTTGCATTGGTTTGGCGGTTTAGGATCATTACTTTTTGTTTTAGCAATTTGTAAATATTTTTAACACCAACTTCGTGTTAACACTCAGTTGTCAGATTTACAACATCTCACATTATGCATCCGACTAAATCATCTACCTCAATAGTAATCACATCACCAATTATTTGTCATCAAAATTTTTAAAAAAACAATAGTTATTTCATCAATATTCATTTTTATATTTGCGAACCAACGACGTTTAAAATGTCAGTTTACGCATTGTTCTATACCTCCGGAAGAGTTAGTGAAAGTATCAGATTCTTCATTTACTAGTGATAATTTCGATGTCGCTTATAACGATCACAAATCCTTTCCTGTTGTTATTTACAACAGAATACCTAAAACAGGCAGTACATCTTTGGTCAACTTAGTCTATCGACTAATAGCAGAAAAGCGTATTCATACGCATGTTCTGCACGTGAATATTTCTACAAACAGACATTATATAAATCGAATAAGTGAATTATATCTTATCGATAATTTAACACATTGGAAAAGTATGCATCCACTAATGATTCATGGTCATTTCGCTTACATAAATTTCGAGAAATATGGAACATCATTTACTCCGGTATATATCAATATGATAAGAAATCCTTTAGACAGATTAGTATCGTATTATTATTTTATACGATATGGTGATGATTACAGACCATATTTAAAACGTAGGCGTATGTCGGACCCCGTCATTCGTAACCAGACGTTTGACGAATGTGTTCTATTGAAAGGAAATGACTGTAATCCACAACTCCTTTGGGTTCAGGTAAGATGTTGCTTCTATCTGTTTTTCTTTTTTATAAATATTAACCTTGCAAGTGTAACACCTAACATCGCTACGTTTATCGTTAATACTATTAATGATACCGTGTAACACAAGAATTGGGACGTAAATGCCAAAGATCAAAGACGTTTATTCTCTTCATACTTTACACTTCACGGGCCACGTCTCACAACCATAAAGAAGAACACAGCAAACAGCTTTGCTTGATCGATACTTGAATATCGTGCCTGTGCCAAAGATGGCACATGACAACAGATGCCAGACAAATCTTTTGCATCTGTTGTGGGATTTCGTCAACAATCAGTCCATTTGGGCTGATGCAACTTCATTAGTAAATGAAGTGGTCAGCATGCTCATCATTAGATAAAGGTGCCAAATACGTCCGCTGCACGTTTCTCAACTTCACTTCTGCTTTCGACTCTGTACCTAGATGTCTCTTGCTAAATAAGCTCTCTAAGACAAAAACTGAGTCCTGCGTCACTAACTGGTTGCATTCCTACTTCTCTAACAGAATGCAGTACACCGTATACAAAGATAAATCCTCCTCTGCTGCGCTCACTGAAGCTGGTGTTCCCCAAGGTGCTGTACTCTCCCCACTTCTCTTTTCTTTCTTTCTACATGACTTACCATCTTCAAATGACATTAATTTTGTCAAATATGCTGACGACCTAACAGTATCTTTGCCTGTCAAATGTCAAAGTGACTGCTCTGAACTAAATGGCTTTCTGTCAGAAATCAGCCAGTGGTCCAAGGAAAACGGTCTTACCTTAAACCCCTCCAAATGCCAAACAGTCAATTTCACCTTTAGGCATAAATCCGACCTAAACAAACTGGTTGGCTCTCACGAGGTGTGTAACATAGATGGCACTGAAATAGAAACCAAATCGGAAATTAAATACCTAGGCGTCATTCTATCTGCTGATCTCTCCTGGTCGTCTCATATCTTGGCGATTTCTAAGAAAATATTCCGTCTTACCTTCTACATCAAGAAGTTAAGACATTCTGGTATAACCCAACCCTTACTCCTACAATTCGTTAACTCTCACATTCTGCCTATTATTCTCTATTGTTCCCCCTTAGTTTTTCCCGGGCTACTGAAGAAAGACTATAACATATTACGCAGGATGTTAAAGGTTGTCAGCAGGGTAAGCAACGTGCCACTTAACCAGCTTGTTAATATTCTGGTTGACAGGCACATGGACTCATGTGAAAAATGGGCCAAATCCATTTTATCTAACTCACATCACCCTCTTCACTCACAACTCTCCCCTTGCATCTCATCAGGCAAAACCAGAAGCCTATATAGAAAACTATATGCTCGCACCAGCAAGTACAAAAACTCAACCATACCCTACTTAGCTCGTGTTCTGTGTGATAAAGAAAGCATTAGGCGTGACACCTATAATTCATTAAATAGTCAGTAGAACAACTGGACCTCGTCTTTCCAACTCATATCATTTATAGGTACAACATTTTCTTTCTTTTTTCCGTTATGTGCTGCTTTGTTTCTTTCTTCCGCTTACGCCAGTAAATATGATAGCACCTACTTTTCTAACACCTTCAAACACTGTTCAACTTTGGCTTTGCTACCGACATGCCAATATGTTGTTGTCATAATGAACTGAGATTTCCTTAATCTATGTAGAATTCTATTTATTGATAATGTACTAACTGGATGCAATACTGTAGTAAAAATGCTGAGAATTCCATTCTGTATCACAAGTACTGTTTTGGAATAAAGCAAATTATTATTATTATTTACTCATCCTTAAACTAGTAGTAGGCATAGACCGATCATGCAATATCATCTTACATTTGACAGGGGCGAATCGCATGCCAGACATGGTAAGATTTCTTCTCAAGATGTTTGGAAGAATGTGCACTTTGTTATTGTCTTCACCAGAAGGCCGATATTATCCACATGCTTCAAATCGACAAGACTGTTCCCTAGAGTGAATGTTTATGGTACATTAATTGACATATAGCCAGCAATTTTGAACTTAATTTTTCTTTATACAAGGTGTTAGGTTTATTAGAATTTAAAATATAACTGAACAGTTTGGTGTAGGCCATCTTATTTCAATTATTTTTTTGTCTGTGCTAATTGGTGTAATTTTTCATTTTAAGGTACCGTTTTTTTTGTGGACAAGCTGTGTTTTGCAGAATACCTGGTAGTCGAGCTGCTTTAGAAACTGCTAAACGACACGTTATTGAAAAATACCTCATTGTTGGTTTAACAGAAAATTTTGATGAAATGATACAAATACTTGAAGTACTCTTACCAACTTTCTTTTCAGGCGCTCATAAATTAATATCTAATCCACAGAGCAATTGGTATTTAAGACGTACAAGTCATAAACTACCTATAAGCCAAGCAACAATTGAGTTTTTCCAAAAAAACTCCATATGGCAGGTAGAACAAGAATTTTATGACTTCGTGAGTAAAGAATTTCACTCACTTTACAATATTTATCAAAGTCGATCCTTACAAAAAACATCTTTAAAAGAAAAAATCATTTTTGACAAAATAAGTCCGAAATTGATGTGACATAAAGAATTTTGTATTATACTTTATCTTTATAACTGTAAATGCTACATGTCTGTCCTGATTTTTTCTTCTCCTTTTTAATTCATCCTCGATTGCATTTATATAAAATAAATAATTTGTATCATCACAGTGTGAATCTATAGTTCTAAGTAATTTAGGCGTAATCAGTAATCTACAGTCGATAGGTGTGCAGATTGAATTCAGTTTCAGTAGCTGATCTTTGAACACTTATTAAATATATCACCGTATTGCATCAATATGTAGGTAATTCGTACTCAATAGTTGGCCGATAGACAGCTGTTGTTTATGAACTACAGTGAATCTGTTATCTGTTGGGTTTACTTCTTTTGAAACACCAGTTTCTAGTCTCAGTCACGACACTAACTCACAGGGATGTAGGTGCTTCTAGGTCAAGGGGCTGCAAATGGAAATAAACCCGTTTTTCTGGTACCCACAATCAACTAAAAAACATCAAGGAATGGAATTCTAAAGAGATTTATTGTTTCGAATAACTTGTAGGATGAATGGAACGGTAGCGAGGATAACAGTTATTTAGGGGAACATAAACTAACTGTTGGATTTTTCACGAAACGTGAGCGTATTCAGTTAAGATTACATATTACAAAAACTATTTCTTATGTTTTATTGAATATCCATGAGCTGAAATTTTTTAAAACGTAAATACGCAAAGCTTTCTTGCCAGTGTATATGATAATTAAGTGACTCGGAGGATTTCTTGATTTTAAGTTGTTCACTAACTACACTTTTATAGAAATTATGCTTAACATGTTTTCTGGAAGAATGTGAACGACGTTTTTAGGATGTTACCAACAACGAGTTAACTGCTCTAAATAGATTATATCTGTTTGACTTTGTTAAAGTCGTAAGGTTCTATTGAACTGGTTGACTGTTTCTATCACAAGCGAGTGCATCTAAGCACGCCTTCAAATCTGAAGTTAAGATAATTAAAGATGAAGAGACGGAAACGGCTTTTGAAGATAATATTCTATTATATGTTCTGTTAGAAACACGAGAAAAGGTGAAGATTAGGACTTCGGATATGTATAATTATTGTGTTTATTTCAAAGGAATCCGTTTACGGTATCTTTATCCTACAAAAACTCCAAGCTTTATTTTTGGTTCTTCTTTTGTCGTCATAGCTTTTCGTTATAAAATAAGTCAATTAAAATGTATCATTATTTTTTGTAGTGAAAATACCTTACTTAACTTCTGTGAGTCACTATAAGACGTAAGCAGTCGCCAACATAAAGCATTCTGTTAAGTCATTGATATACATGGGAACATGGGTATTTTTATTTGAATGCCCTTAAATATTCCAAAATGTACGTATCCATGATTGAGTTTCTAGTTGTTTCCAATGTTCATTGTCGTATTATGTATGCTTTGGCGAGAGGTTTGGTCTTTTATTATTACCCAGGTTAGACGGCTGAAGCTTGACCTACCGGACTCAGTACGGACTTGCTTTTGTGAGATACTGTGTCATCCGTAGAACTAAAAGCCTACTCAGATCACTCGAATGTGTGAAACTAATATCGCTAGAGTAGAACCAACTAGGTGAGCTAAACTTAAAGGTCTTTGATTGACCAACATGACAGTTCAACTTGTACATATACCTCACCATGATTTCATCGGTTTTATTCTATGAAGAAGCGACTTTCAGGACCCCAAGAAATGTGAAAGATTTAAATTAATATCTCAAGCATTTTATACGTATAAATCTCCACCAATGTACATACATATATACAATTTTAAAAAGTATATCCTATGAGGAATTGTAAACAATACGGATGAACATTACGATTACAAACCATAACATCAACGGTGAAGAAATAATTATGAAAAAAATTAAAGCCATTATCTAATATAAAAAACCAAAACAAGAATGCAAATAGCACAAAGAGAAAACGATCAAAAACAGATAAAAATGCTTCGCACTATCACCTGAGTCAACAAAAATCATTGAAGAGCGCCAGAGTTCCCAATTAGCTGTGTTTTGTTCATTTCACTCTGGGATTTGGCGATTTTCGTCCGATCAGAGAGAATCGCTAAGATTTAGTCGACATATTCCTGGCGGTTCACCGGAACAACGCCTCCGCCTTTATCAGGACGACTTGTGGTGGTATCATGCTTTTCCTTCAGTTCTTTAGGCCGGTCTGGTCTGTGTAATCTTTGGTCAACAGATTGTGAGAGGTCGGCTTTCAATTGGTAAATTGATGGCAACAATCAAGAAGAGTTGATTTGAAGTGTTGCAATCAGTGCAGCGATGCGGCTATAAGATCGAAAGTCTGGCTAGTTAAGCTGTTTTGCTTTGTAAGCTGCACTTGAGTGTGCAGTCTGTTGACGCTGGATACGCTGTTGCAGGACTTAGGACCCAGTGACGCAGTGACCGAGTGACACAGCTTGTAGCTGAGATGTCGAGAGAATGCCAGAATACTGACTGAAGACACATTTGTGGGAATCAGTGGGAAATCTCCTCTCTACTTCTACCGGCTTGAGGCTGTCAGTATTGTTTGTGATTGGTGAACTGAGACTGATTTTCGATGACAATAGAGATACCATCGTCAAACTGTTGACTTTCACCAGTCGATAGTTCATGAGGACGAGGGAGCTTGTCTTTTAGACAAGTGGAGAACAACTTCCGGCTGGTGAGGGTCAAGTGGAGTTTCGCCGCAGACAACGTCTTACCGACTGATTTAGAAGGAGGATTTTCGAGCAAATCTGAAGTCTGATCACCCTCAAACTCCAGATTGACGAAGATGCTTTTCTTTGGAACTGAGTTAGTGGCGAGATTGGAATGTTTATCCTTCGTCTTTTTATCAATACAACGGTTGGGGTGACGGTTTTCAGCACGCCTGGCTCTTAGGAAAGAAAATTCAGCGTGAAGGCAGTCAGAACGACAAGCCTTTCTTCACGCATAGCAGAGGGAGTGAATAAGGCTTCTACTCCTGTGAATAGGCACCAACCAACTATAGAGAATAGTTAATCGTCCATTCCATCCATGTACGTGCTCGGTGGATGGATATTTTGGGAGCTGTGTTGTTGTGTGTTGTGTGGAACACACCAGGAGAAGGAATGCCTAGTTCAGATTCATTTTCTAGGGTAAATTCTAAAGATGCTTGTCAAAGCATCCAACAACTCGACTAAGCTGAGTGTTTTCAAGCTTTGACATAAGACAGTCAGCCAGTAGTGGACCCAGTGGTGACTCCATCGCAACACCCTCCTTCTGTCTATATATCTGGTTGTTAGAGCTAACCTGGACGTTGGATGTGCATCTGAGTGAGAGTTGTTTAAGGCAGGTTGTTGGCAGCCCTAGGTCTAAACTATCTGCATCCATATAGTCGCATATATAGCAGATGGTTTCTGTGAGAGACGCATTAGTAAACAACGAGGTCACGTCTAGTGAAAGCATGACTTTGTCTGAGGCGTCGAAATCTCTGATACCATGAACTAGTTGAATTGTATCAGCAGTGGCAAACTTAGACACTTGCCTTCTGACTGGTTCCGGCATTTCGGCTAGCCATTGAGCCAAACGATGATAAGGGGAACCCATCATATGGAGGATCGAACGAAGAGGTAATCCATATAAACGTGGGATTATGGAGCCGACGGGTGAGACACGCTCATGTGAATCTGAGGAGATCATTGACTCGTCTGTCATGTTTTGTAGAACATTTGTCAGGTGATTTCCAATTAGCTGTGTTTTGTTCATTTCACTCAGGGATTTGGCGATTTTCGTCCGATCAGAGAGAATCGCTAAGATTTAGTCGACATATTCCTGGCGGTTCACCGGAACAACGCCTCCGCCTTTATCAGGACGACTTGTCGTGGTATCATGCTTTTCCTTCAGTTCTTTAGGCTGGTCTGGTCTGTGTCATCTTTGGTCAACAGATTGTGAGAGGTCGGCTTTGAATTGGTAAATTGATGGCAACAATCAAGAAGAGTTGATTTGAAGTGTTGGAATCAGTGCAGCGATGCGGCTATAAGATCGAAAGTCTGGCTAGTTAAGCTGTTTTGCTTTGTAAGCTGCACTTGAGTGCGCAGTCTGTTGACGCTGGATACGCTGTTGCAGGACTTAGGACCCAGTGACGCAGTGACCGAGTGACACAGCTTGTAGCTGAGATGTCGAGAGAATGGCAGAATACTGACTGAAGACACATTTGTGGGGATCAGTGGGAAATCTCCTCTCTACTTCTACCGGCTTGAGGCTGTCAGTATTGTTTGTGATTGGTGAACTGAGACTGATTTTCGATGACAATAGAGATACCATTGTCAAACTGTTGACTTTCACCAGTCGATAGTTCATGAGGACGAGGGAGCTTGTCTTTTAGACAAGTGGAGAACAACTTCCGGCTGGTGAGGGTCAAGTGGAGTTTCGCCGCAGACAACGTCTTACCGACTGATTTAGAAGGAGGATTTTCGAGCAAATCTGAAGTCTGATCACCCTCAAACTCCAGATTGACGAAGATGCTTTTCTTTGGAACTGAGTTAGTGGCGAGATTGGAATGTTTATCCTTCGTCTTTTTATCAATACAACGGTTGGGGTGACGGTTTTCAGCAAGCCTGGCTCTTAGGAAAGAAAATTCAGCGTGAAGGCAGTCTCAACGACAAGCCTTTCTTCACGCATAGCAGAGGGAGTGAATAAGGCTTCTACTCCTGGGAATAGGCACCAACCAACTATAGAGAATAGTTAATCGTCCATTCCATCCATGTACGTGCTCGGTGGATGGATATTTTGGGAGCTGTGTTGTTGTGTGTTGTGTGGAACACACCAACAGAAGGAATGCCTAGTTCAGATTCATTTTCTAGGGTAAATTCTAAAGATGCTTGTCAAAGCATCCAACAACTCGACTAAGCTGAGTGTTTTCAAGCTTTGACATAAGACAGTGAGCCAGTAGTGGACCCAGTGGTGACTCCATCGCAACACCCTCCTTCTGTCTATATATCTGGTCGTTAGAGCTAACCTGGACGTTGGATGTGCATCTGAGTGAGAGTTGTTTAAGGCAGGTTGTTGGCAGCCCTAGGTCTAAACTATCTGCATCGATATAGTCGCATATATAGCAGATGGTTTCTGTGAGAGACGCATTAGTAAACAACGAG